AGAATGTTGAGATGGGCTGAGAAACATGAAATACAGATCCTAACCATTAGATGGTATACATATTGAAAATGGTGATTTTCCATTGCAGACTGTGACTGATATCCTTTTTAAGGCGTTCCAACCCCAAAAAAGTGCAGCATCCCATTCCGTGACGCGGTGGCAGTTTCAATAGCCTGTGGTGTGTGGTCGCTGCCGCCGTTGCAATGTCAAAAATAGAGGCACTGAAGGGCTTCGCATTACCTTGGCAACGGATGTTATGATGCTGCAACCTGTTGGACAAGACTGGTCGGAATACATGCTGAAAAACCCTCTGTTTTTGTCAAGGAATTCTGAAAACCAAAATCATCCAATATCACCGGTCAATCACAATTGTTCAGACTTCAATAACCGGTGAGTAAAAAATTACTTTACTTCGAGTTATCCCCACCATGACATCTATACGTTTTGTTACTGGCAAATCTTCTGGCATTCTATCTGACATATCTTCTGGCATTCTATCTGGCATATCTTCTGGCATTTTATCTGGCATATCTTCTGGCATTTTATCTGGCGTATCTTCTGGCATTCTATCTGGCCGTTGAGGTCCAGCGGTGCTCACTGAGCTCGGAGGGTCCCAGGTTGAGGTCCAGCGATCCTCACTGAGCTCGGAAGGTCCCAGGTTGAGGTCCAGCGGTGCCCAGTGCGCTCAGACCCTTGCAGTTGAGGTCCAGCAGTGCCCACTGCGTGCGGAAGTTGGCGAAGAGCTTGGCGAAGAGTTGGCAAGGCGGAAGTGAACATGGGAGTGGATGCAAAGGTGGTGGAGGAGAAGCTGGAGGAGAGGGAGGAGGAGGAGAAGAGAAGGAGGTGGAGGATGAGGAGGAGGAGGCGGAGGAGGAGAACAACTGTGATAAAATCTAACAACCCTCACCTGGCAGGTGGGGAAAAACAGTTGGATTATTTCCCCCAACAGCCTGCGCATAGCGTTCGGCCATCTCTTTTCGGCTCCTGGCGAGGTCGACACAAAGTCTCTCAACCTGATACCCTCCAGTAAACTAATAGTTTGCTATGGAAAATGGAGCATTCAGTTCAATGATTTACCTATCAAGACATGGTGATTTCCATTGATTTCCATAGCCATGAGATGGTTGCCAGATGGTTGTTGAAAACTTTGAAACTGCCCAAGTGTTGCACAAAGTGTCACTGTAGATATTTAGGTCAAAACTTAGGTCAGGCCTGTAAGAACCACCTGAAGTGATGAGATGTTTAACCCATTAATCAGAGAGAACTCCTTAGATATCTATGAAATCCTGCAGTCTCTCGCGTTTTTTGGCTTATACTTCGTTATCTTTGGCACATCTTGTACACAAAAAACTGGAGAACCTCTGGGAGGTTCTCCAAAACAAACAAAAAATCCGAACAAGCACCCGCTGTACTCACTGTCCATGTGGACTTGTGTCCTAAAATAGGATTTCCCCTTATAAAGCATCCATTTTTGGGTACCCCCATTTTATGCAACATTAATTAAATTTACACAATATACACATCTGGGCAAATTATAATAATTCACTAATCTGAATTAAGGCCATTTGGGGATGATTCCCCTTACTAACCATGATTTCCAGTGAGGTCGCAGTGAGGTCGTTATAATTTACCCAGACAATATACACATGTCGATCCATTTCTTCCATCCGCCCAGGTCCTAGGATTCTCTTCCAACAACTTGGAGGTTTCCTTGCGGACCACACCAGGGTCACCAGGACCCCAACGATTTCATGGTGATATCATGGTGATTTAATGGTGATCTGATGGGAATTCATGGTTATTTTTCATGGGATTTATTTGTCCATGGTCATCTGATGATGTCTAGGTAAATCATGGAAAATAGATGGATTACCCTCTGGTAAACTTACATAGATATGGAAAATTACCATTGTTGAATAGGTCAATTCACTACACATGGCCATTTTCAATCGCTACAAGGTGGTGCCCCCCCAGTTATAAGTTGGTTTATAATCCCATTAACTAGATATATATATATCTACCATAAGTCCTAGTTATTAGAGTTATAAACCAACTTAGCTATCTTGGGGGCACCACATTGTATGTTAAATTAGAAAAGGGCATGCCCGAAAAAAAAAAAAAACATGTCTGGTGGATCCCCCATGGGGAAAACATCAGAATCATACCCCAAGTTCTCCATTTATAAATGAATGTTCCATAAAGTACACCATCCAGCTATTGGGCTACCTCCATGATGGAAACCCCTGATCGAACCCCAGAACCTGATGGATTGGTTTAAGGAAAAAATGGCAGGAAAACCATGGAAAACCCCATGTTTAATGGGAAAATCGATGGTTTCCGGTTTTGATTTCCCTTTAATCAATCCATTGCTCCATAGAAAAATCCAGTCGTGTCCTCTACAAACGCCTTCCTCTGCTCCACCGCTGCGGCTCCGGCCGTTTTTGGCCGCCAGGCGCAGCTTGCTCCGCCGCGCTTCAGCAATGGGCTCTGCCTTGGGGTTAGCTGGATTGCACCTATGGATGAAAGACTTTCAAGGGGGTATCAATATGATTGATACGGGATGATCAAAGTTTAAACAACTTGAAACCATGGTATGTTATATAATATATAATATGTGTAAACGTCAAAGAATTTCATTCAAGGATATTCAAGGGTTAGAACTTATAACCAGCAGCAACTTCTGATATCAAGCTTGGACCGTGGAACACAAAGAAAATCACCAGGTATCACGAGGTGCCAAGCTGCACGTAGTAACAGAATCCAGGATCCGGTTTACAATTGGCCCGGTCATTATGACGCAGCCACCAATCTTCATCCTGTCGCCATGCTGGCCAGGAACCGATTTATTGGAGGTACCTACCTTTTTTGAGGCCTATTTTTGAGGCCTATGTAAGGGAATATCCCCACAAAATATGGCCTTATTGATCCTGCTCTTGGAAAATTCACCCGGAATCTCAGCTATCTTTGCTCAACGGGGGCACATGGATGTGAACGCTGCTTCTATCTCCTTGACTTGGATTTGCTCAACGGGCCCCCAATACCAAAAAAAAACTGGAGCAATGATATACAGTAACTTCAAAAGCAATAATAAACACTAACAATCATAATCATGATATATCATGATATACACGAGACCTCATTACCCTCTGGTAAACTAACATAGCTATGGAAAATCACCATTTATAGTGAGTTTTCCCATGAAAAGCATGGTGGATCTTTCCAGTTCGTTTTTTGTAAACGTTTACCAGAGGGTAGCTCTCATGGCTCATCATTTTCCATGATTTTCCCATTTAGTTCGTGGATTTACCCATTAAACATGGTGATTTCCTATAGTTATGTAAACGTTTACCAGGCCGGGTATTTTGCTCCACCGATCCCATCCACTCCTGCTGCTTGCTGACATGGAAGCGTTCCTTGCTGGGCAACGCCGCGGGTTTTTTCATCCACAGCTCCCCTCCGTGCAGCCGATTCTTCTCCGCCCCATTGAAGCCTGGTGCCAGTGGAAATCATGGAGAAACAGAGAGAGAAAGCATTGAAAAAATGGTGAAGCCAGGCAGCTAAAAATTATTGGCTGAAGTAAGTTGAACTACTGACTATGGGGGGGTGAAAAACCATGAGTTTTGTTCAAGGGCAAATTTCAGATTCTCCGGCAAGCTCTGTACATGAGTTCTGTACCTGGAATTGTTCATGGACCTCTTGTGCGGAACTTTTTTTGCTATGCTGAATTGCCGTTTTTATTCACCGCAAAGTTGGTGAGTTGGTTCCCTGGGAAAGACGGGTGGAATCTATCCAGCCGTAGGGGATCGGTGGGCTTAGCCATAGGGGGATGGGCTTGTTTTTTTCCCAATTCATCGTGTCTGACGTGTCTTAAAACCCCACTTGGTCGAGCAATCGAGGAGTAACCACCCTCCTGTATCGCTTGGAGGAGAAATATAAAAGATGATACAGCAAATAGTAGCTGTAAACATAAACCCTCCTGTAAACTGACAGTTCGATGTGGAAAACAAAAAAAAAACACATGTAGAATATCTAGCGATTAAATTATATTAAAAGTATGGTGATTTTCCATTGCAAACTGTTAGCGTACCAAAGGGTACACAGTTCTGACCCACATCATGGCTCATCACCTCGGAGCCTTAGATACTGGCCCCTACCAGCAAGAATCACGCCCTTTCTATGCATTAGTTTATGCATATTTATCAACACTCACACCCAAGTAATAAACATATTATGGATACATAAGTATATTTTTATGGATATTAAACACCCTAAATAAGCACCCAAGTAATAAACACATGGATATGTTTCAAGTGCATAAGCAATACCCTCTGGTAGTTTAACATAACTATGGAACATCACCATTTTAATGGGTAAATCAACTACAGTATAAATTGCCATTTTCCATAGCAAACTGTTAGTTTACCAGGCCGGGTAAATCCCATTAAATCACATTTTTCTTGGTTTTTTATCCCATGAAAAACAACCATTAAATCACATGTTTACTGGAGGGTAAGTCAATACGTCAAAACTTCAAACCCTGATCCATTCAATGGGATTTTTTTAGGATCCTAAAATGGAGGTACGTTAGTACCATTCTTGAGGCCATATTTGGCTGGGATATTCACTTACATAGGCCTTACCCTCTGGTAAACTAACATAACTATGGAAAATAACCATTTTTAATGGGAAAATCCACTATAAATTGCCATTTTCAATAGCTATTTTGACATAACCAGGGTATATATGGTAGGTACCTCCAATAAATCGGATCCTAAGGAGTTGCCATTGATCCATTGATCCATCATCCAATTTTCACCCAAGTTTCCAGCGCTCCATTGCCTCAGATTATGGCCATGTTTAAGGGTGCATTTCCGGGTGAATTTTCGACCTGGGTCAAGTACCCATTAACGGTGGTTTAATGGTGGTTTAATGGGATTTAACCAACAAAAATTGTGATTTTAATGGGATTTACCACCTGGTAATTTGTGAAGCAGTTTGCGAATTTGAACATGGCCCAGTCGAAAAAGTTGATTTTCAGATTAATAGCATGGTGATTTTCCTCGTTAAGTAAACGTTTACCAGAGGGTACTACACTTAAAATATCCCAAGATTCATAGTTTATACTATAAGAAACCGCTATAAATTAATTTCTTTGCAACCTCACATCAACACACATGCCGTTGATAAATTAGGGGTTCACCCCTCAAAAGCAGGTGAAGATCTGCACATATGGTACCGGGGCTCAGAACATTGAAAACTATACGCTATACTGTACTATACCGAATGTATGCTGGTTGAAGATGTGGTATTTAGCACAACGTGGGCACCCCAGTTATAAGTTGGTTTATAAACCCCATTAACTATAGTTATAAGTATCATAAAACATAGTTATTGGAGTTATAAACCAACTTAGCTATCTTGGGGGCCCCACATTGCACCAATATCATGTTGATCCATCATTTTCCGCTCAACTGATGAGGATGATCCTTAACTTATGGCAACTTAGCGGTGAATATGACAAAACACACCTGACCATCACCCTGCAAGAGTGGATGAAATCGAAGTCACATATTGGCAGCCTGGCAAAGAATTGGCTATAATCATTAATTCATGCAATATACAGGAATCACATATGAGTATCACCAGGCATTATTATATAGATAGCTGTAATAAATGTATATAATTGACTCATGTACTACTTGTCAATGTACCAGGAAGGTGGCAAGAATCCAGCACCAGATTACAGTCTGAACTTCAGTGCTGTCTTCAGTGCTGTCTAGATTTCATCAAAGCAACGACCCATCCACGACCTAACGACCCCTCTGAGAAAAGACAATGGGCGGGTCACGGCCGTGGGGAGTATACCACGAAAACGGGACACTGAGCAACTTCGTGTGGGCGGCATTCTTTTTGGCGTTTGGCCAGTTTCACTGTGTTGTACCTCTGATTCCCATGACGTGGCTGAAATCGATTGGCTTTACAATTGGCTTTCCACTACATTGGCAATACGTAAATTGACTTACTGGTGCTAAACGCAGGGAAATTTCGGGAATGATCCACTGGCTAACTATATATACTCATCCCAGCAACCCCCAGCAACCCATCCAGCCACCCTACGTAAAACGCACCAGTAAGTCAACCATGAATTCTTGAGATTTTACCCTCTGGTAAACTGTCTGTTACATAACGAACTGGAAAATCACCATGCTTTTCATGGGAAAATCCACTATTTCAATGGCCATGGCTTCAAGTTCGCAAACTGTGAATGTTTACCAGGCCGGGTAAATCCCATTAAATCACCATATGTTTGTTGGTTTTTTATCCCATTATATAAACCACCATGAAAAACCACCATTATCAGAGGGTAAACCTCCATTTTCCTATGGTTTTCCTATGGTTTTCCCATGAAAAACCACCATGAAAAACCACCAGTTCTTTTCAATTTTTCTTACAAGTTCGCCATGGAAAATAACGGACCATCCCAATGGGCCAAATCCGTCCAACCAATGATTGGTTAACCGTTATTTTTTTAAAAAAAAAGCGGTTTAATTAAGAAGCAGTAAAACAATTTAAAAAAATACCATTTTATGAGTTTAAACCAATCAATCATAAGCAATATTAAACCAATATTAAACCAATCATGACCAATTACTGTACCAATGACGAACAGCATACAACCAAGAATACCCCATAATCATCTACAATCCACGTCCAAAAATGACAAGGGCATCACTATTAATATATTATCCCCATAGCACGCCCTACAAATATAGAAAAGTTGGTGGTGGAACATATTGGAAAACATAGAGGAAACCTTTTTTTTCGGCATCTTTGTCATATCATAACGTTTTTAAATCCGTTTGTGACATATCTACCCTCTGGCAATTTAACATAGCTATGGAAAATTGCCCAGCTATAGTTGATTTATCTATCAAAAGTGGTGATTTTCAATAGTTATGTAAACGTTTACCAGAGGGTACCACAAACCCAACAGTTCTACTAATCTATCCAGCATCCCATGCCATCCCTAAAAAGATGCGGAAAAGTATGTCCAGGAGCTTGTGGAATCTTGGTGTTGCGATATATCCAAAGTAAATCCACTGGTTTATCATCATTTTTACTATGGATATATATATATATATATAATTAGTCAAATATAGATGACTCAAGACAATCCTTCGTTATACATGTTCATTGTATAGATATATATAGATATTAAAAAAATCGTCCCCGAAAAAGAACCATTACTGTAATAACCATTAATATATATATATATATACCCAGCATTAATAACCATTAATAGATATATATATATATAGATAACCATTATAATAACCATTAATTATAGATACCCAGCATTTTTTTCCCTATCCTTGATGGCTATAGCGCCCAAGTGGCCGTGACAGGATCTGTGGCGGAAAGGCCACGTCGGGTCGCGTCATCGTGAACGCCATTGGAATTTTAAGCGCGGCACGGTAGGCAACACGGGAGCGCAACGGATCGTTTGAGATTTGTTAATTAAATGGTTAAGTGACATATATGGCAACTGGCCTTTTTTTTTAATGATGTTTGATATATTTCAATGATATTGCAGTCAACTGTTCAATGATGTTCAATGGAATCTATTGTTGATGGACCGTAAATCACGCATGCGACGTCATTTTACTCTCGTTCCGTTGTTTCTCAAGATCTTCCAGCAATTCCAAGTCCGAGTCTTTACGCAGTTGGAGATAGATCAAAGATCAAAATTCATCAACCAGCAAAAAAGATGATCTTCATTGATCTTCAAATGTCTTCACCAAATTGCTCAATCATTGACCCAATTCTTGTGATCATTTCAGCACCTGCGACTGTCCAAACTTGGAGGTGGCAAACCCGACCTCCACCTAACTACTGAGCTGAAAGCCGCCAGGGAATGAGACCTGTGCAGCCATGCCATGCCATGGCTAGCAGATCATGTGGCTAAAACAATGCCATTTTTACCACCCATTTTCCTGGGAATGGTGAACATACCACCTATAAAAATGGTGATCACTGAGGGATGGTGTCTTATTGTTTTACCCACATATTTCGCCACTGAATTTATCAAATCCCGATGTTTTTGTTGAGGAAATAAACTACTCAGCTATTGACCCATATACCTACCCCTCTGAAAAATATGAAAGTCAGTTGGGATGATTCTTCCCAATATATGGAAAGTCATAAAATTCCATGGTTCCAAAAAGCTTCAAACCACCAACCAGATATAAATCTCATTATATCACTTAATATCTCCACAAAAATTGAATCTCCATTTATAGATGATTCTGATCCTCTGGTAAACGTTTACATAACTATTGAAAACGGCCCAGTCGAAATAGTGGACTTACCCATTAATAGCATGGTGATTTTGCACCTGAGAGCGTCGTGAGTGTCGTGAGTGCCCAGGCGCCCGGGCCGGTGCCCAAGCCCTGGTGGGGAAAAGCGAAGACTTTTTGGGGGTAAAAAAAAAAGTCACCCAAAGATAGAAAAGTTTGGAAAAGTCACTGTTGTGATAGGATTTTATACATGTCTATCTTTCTGAAGTTGCTATTACACTACATGGTGCAAAAGCCTTTCGCGACAATCCAAACAAAGCCAAACTCGCTGAGACTTTGAACGAGGAGTCATAGATGGAACTCCAAGAATTCCGCTTGGAAGATCATGGGATCGATTTTTTTTTGAGGGCTACATGTTTTAATGTTAAGATGGTTTAAGATGGTTTAAGATGGTTTAAGATGGTTTAAGATGGTTTAAGATGGTTTAGGATGGTTTAAGATGGTTTAAGCACAATACTTACTGGTGCTTAGCAGGGAATTTTCGGGAATGATCCCAGTCATCACTAGTAATTTCATCATCCCATTCTCCCAGCAACCCATCCAGCAACCCTACGTATAGCACGCACCAGTAAGAATAACAATAGTAATCTTGCGCGAAAAATGATTAATACAATAGTATAAATGATTCTAGTTGGGTACATAGTGTTTTGATGTTCATGAAAAAATAGTATTTCAGTTCTGCACACCAGTATGCCCTCTGGTAATTTAACATAGCTATTGAAAATGGCCATTTATAGTGGATTTTCCCATTAAAATTGTGATTTTCCATAGTTATGTTATGTTAGTTTACCAGAGGGTAAATGAACATCAAAACACCCAACTAGACAGAAATGTACCCCGACCGGATCTCAATGGCCCTTTGAAAAAAGCACGCCTTCTGGGTGTCAATATCCAGCTCACCTGTGCTTTTTCAAAAAATGGGGGACTTGGGACGTCCGAAAAAAGGAAAAACGGCGCAAGCTTTGACACAGCCTCTGGCAGTTTTTTCTGTTGCCGCTGTTGGTGGTTAATTAATTGGAGGCGAGTTACTAGATGTTACTAGTAGCCGCTTAGTAGCCCCTTCTTTCCCAGCAACCTGCAATATGGGGTCACCCTTCTGCCAATCAACCAGTGGCTGCCACGACATCTACCAACCTGAACGGAACTTGTAATTGAACAAGTCAGTAATCGCGGGTAAACACTTGAGGTGTGAAGTGTCTCACTTATAACCACACCGTGGCACGCGTGTCAATAAGGTCACGAGTCTGAGCATTTCCGATCTGCCGTCGGCACTTCTTGGAGTTAGTCAAACACATTGGAGCATCATTGCTTGGGAATGGACTTGAAGGACAATCATGAGATATTCTTTAAGCAACACATTTTCCGGCACCCTATGTTTACTTCCACAAGAATATGTACTTCTTTTGTCGAGATGGACTGAAAGTTAAGCATGGGACAAACATTGCTGAGCTTAGGTACCATTGGCAATGCTGATGATTCTTGATGTTGTAGAAGTACAAAACCCAAAATTGTTGAACAATACACCATTCATCTGTCACCATCCTTCGCCAAGGTTCCCACGAAAAAGAGAGAAACACAAATTGTTTCATCTGCAAAAACATTGCCCAGTACGCCTGGGGCATGTGCACCATGCAACTTGGCCTGTAGAGGCAAGGACCTGAAGGCACTTTGCGAAAAGGAGCCGTGGAAAAGGTGCCAAATAGAACTCCGGAAACCCCGATGGTATACCCTTCAAATACAGCGGAAAACCCAAAGTAAATGCTGCTTTCTAGTAATACATATCTGATTGGTGGTTTCAACCCCTCTGAACAATATTAGTCAGTTGGGATGATTATTCCCAATATATGGAAAAATAAAAAATGTTCCAAACCACCAATCATCAGATATTCCATGCAACGCTCCGAAAAACCCACTCTGCGTAAGCTTCGATTGGCGCAGGCCGAGAGTGAACTGGCAAGGACATCCATACCGAAAAAATCAGCTGATGCAACCACTAAGTGCAAATTAGACCCGTGGATGTCTTTTGTATCGACAACTGTAATATAATTCACTGTTATTTTAATGCATAAAGATAATCAGTGAGTAGTAGTATCATAATTATGATCAATTATCATAAACATAATTTTGTATCAAAGTCATGATAAACTACAGTAGTTTGATACATAAAGATTGTGACTTGTAGTTTGATTATAATAACTCACTGATTATAACTTGTAGTTTGAAATTCTATGACTTTGATGATCCAATCATGGTATCCTTTTCAGGAAGCACGTCATGGGGTCCCCAACATCACTGGCATTCAGGAGCCCAGTGGGACGGGACTAGCTCGCATATGGGTCATGCGGAGTCATACGCATCTATATAGCACGTTAATATGTACCCTCTGGTAATTTAACAGTTTGCTATTGAAAATGGCCATTTATAGTGGATTTTCCCATTGAAAATGGTGATTTACCTGCATTGGGATTATTTTAAATTACTTTAGGGGTCAATGTAGGTAAATATTCCAGCACCATGGATCCTCTGGGTATGTAATTATATATATATGCATATAGTATAATATAGACGTCAGCCAGTAGTAACGTGAAGCTAGGTAGATAGAAGGATGGATGGATAATGATGAATAGATGGATTGAGAGAACGAAAGAAAGAAAGAAAAAAAAGAAAGAAAGAAAAAAAGAGACCCAGAAAGAAAGAAATATAAAGAAATACAAAGAAAGATCGAGTAGAAAGAGACGCTTTGAGAAAGAATGATAGGATAGTACGCTATTAAAAATATATATATAATAAACAAGTAATAAAATAAGATTTGACAAGATAAGAAAAAATCAGATGACATAAAATCAGACAGAATGGATGGATACCCTCTGGTAAACATACAAAAAACTATGGAAAATCACTATTTTTAATGGGAAAATCCACTATTTCTATGGCCATCTTCAATAGCTATGTTAAATTACCAGAGGGTATAGACCACACCCGGTTTCTTTCCAATGTCCATGGCCCCGCGCCAGTCCACCGCAAGAACCTCAGCGAAACCATGTTCGATACATCACCCAGTAGGTTTTGGAAGAAATCGTTAGTAGCCCCAAATTATAAATATACAGATACACATAGATAGACGATATATACATGTATGTATGTATGTATGTATGTATGTATGTATGTATGTATATCCATCTAATTAATCTATCTATCTAACTATCTATCTATCTATCTATACCGTAGTATGCATATATATATATATAGATAGATATATATTGTATACATGTAAATATATATATGTATATATATATACATACATAGATTGCAAATACGTAGTATTATTTACATGTAAATATATATTGTATACATGTAAACAGTATTATTCCTCTAAACCACTGGTATACAGTGATTACTCGCCCCGTTCCACACACGTTTCACCAAGATACGCGTCTTGCCTGTGCCTCCGCCAACGCATCCTGCGGACGAAAAAAGTAAATTGTCTCCCACTTATGGCAGCTATATGACATACCTCCATTATAGTAATAAGTATGCATATATATATATATCATATATCTATCAATAACATATACGTACATACATACATACATATATATATATATCAATAACACACACATATATATATATAGATATCAAAGATATTATATAGTTGGTATGTAATAGTTGTGATATCTTGTGTATATCTTATGATCATTAAATGGTCAACCATTTTTCAGTAGCTGGACCATGCGGACCATCCTGGCTTGGTGGAGCCGTAGAAGCCAAAGGCCAATGGCCATCTAAGGGATTTCTCCAATTTATGGCTGGTTGGTGGTTGACCAACCTACCATTGGTTGGTTAATATACTGTTAATATTAATGGTTAATATGATATACTAAAGATATACTTATGATAAACTTATGATATATGGTTAATATTAATGGTTATTATATAATTATATGGTTAATATCAATGGTTATTATATGGTTAATGAATGTTAATGATGGTTAATAATTTGGTTGGTGGTTTCAACCTACCCCTCTGAAAAATGATGGACTTCGTCACTTGGGATGATGACATTCCCAATACGATGGGAATAATAGAAAATTCATGTTCCAAACCACCAGCTATTGACCTATATTTTCATGGAGAAAATAAGGA